GTTTACCTCCCATAGTTAGATTTCTTTCTGCCACCACGCATTTAACCCCCTCTACCCCACCTACCACCCTTCCTCCTCCCCCCACCCTCTGTAAGCACTAGTCTTTAGTCCATGTCCATGAGTCTCTTTGTTTGTCATGTTCATTTGTTGCTTTTAGGTTTATATCCCACATATAAGTGATATCATGTGGTTTCAACTTTTTCTACCTGGCTCATTCCACTTAGCATGATTATCTCGAGGTTCATCCGTGTTGTCACAAATGGTAGTATTTCATCTCTTCTTATGGCTGAGTAATATTCCATTGTATATATATATATACCACAGCTTCTTTATTCAATCCACTTCGATTGCTTCCATGTCCTGGCCACTGTAAATAATACTGCTATGAACATCAGTATACAAATATCCTTTTGGACATGAGTTTTCAAGTCTTTGGGGTAAATACCCAGTAGAGGGATTGCCGGATCATATGGTAGATCAATTTTTAGTTTTTTGATGAACCTCCATACTGTTTTCCATACTGGCTGTACCAATTTAATCCTACTTTTTTAAATGCACTGCAAGTTTGGTTTATACAACTGTCCCTGAAGTGATTTTAAAATTGAATTTGCTTTGCTTTTAAAACATTTTTAGGTAGTCATTTCTCTTGTTTCCTACAAATACTGTTGCTCCTGGCTTGACTTTTCTTCACTTCTCTAATAGATACATCCCAACAGAGGCCTAGTAACAATAAACTTTTTTCCAGAATATTTTTCTAACTTTCTGTCAACTCCCAGTATAGACAAAAGGAAAAGTTTCTTTGCAGGTGCACTTATAATGTGAAAAATAAATTTATACCAACTTAAGCACCCCTATCAAAACTATGTTCAAGGGCATTTTTTCTTTACCTAATTGTGAAGATCACAAATAGGTTAAATGTAATTAGCTTTGTTTCACATCTGATAATTTGGTATGGTTTCACAGCCTTGTCTAGAGAAGCAGAAGTCTATAAGATGTAACCTCCTTTTGTTTTTTTCTGATATCATAAGTTACTTCAAAATTTACAAAGAAGTAATGACCTTTTATTTCAGGGATATTTTATATTTTTTATGTAAAAAAAAAATGTCTTTTAAGGGATTCCTGCTACTCAGTTGCTAAATTTGCCTGAATAAGTCAGGGCAAGATTTAGTGAGTATTCACATATGCTATGGATTTAATAATTTAAAAAAAAAAAGTTTTTTTTGTTTGTTTTTTTGTTTTTTGTTTTTGTTTTTTTTATCATCTCTTCATGGTAACAAGCCTGTCAAAATGGTTTCTGGAGGTTTCTAAAATGTCTCCCACAAAACCACAGCCCTACCATGCAAACACCACTACCTGTCAGGGACTACACTAGCTATGGACTAGCAATGTCTTAACTTGATACCTGTTTCTGCTTAGTTTATTTGGAACTTTTCCAAACATACACACCCTGATTGGTCTCTAATTCAGGGACAGAAAACTTTCTCTGTAAAGGGCCAGGTAGTAAATTTTTAGGCTTTGTGGGCTATATACAGCTTCTGTTGCATCATATTCTTCTTTCTACAGCTCTTTAAGCATGTTTAAAAATCATTCTTAGCTCATAAGCCATACAAAAACAGGACATGTTATTAATGGATCAGGCTCTAATTCAGTCATTCAATGCAGGCATGCAACTATAGGGTACAGGAGAAATTATTTGGGGGCACTTGCTACATAGAAGCCAGCAATAACTCCATGGCTAAAGATTAGCAAGTAAAAATGTTAACTCTACCTTTTCGTCTGTTGCAAATTTACTTATATTTTTCATGATGGCTTTTTGTTTTTACCTTGTCTTTTTCACATAGGTAAAGCAGAAAAAAAGACTAAGGAAGGGAGGGAGGGAGGAAGTGAGGGGACCAAGAGAAATAGGCAAGAGAGGAAGGGAGATTAAGAGAGGGAAAGGCAGAAATAAAGACTAAGGAAGAAAAGAGGGAGGCTAAAAGATAAGAAGGATATAGGACAGAAAAGGAATAAAAGAAAGGGAGAAATAGAGAGAAGTAGAGAGGAGCAAAGGATGGGGGTGAGAAAAAGAAAAACATAGAAAAACAGGGAGAGCCAGACTATGGAAGTTAGGGCACAGTTTCTCCTTTTCCTTAGAGCCAGGGGGATCTCAGAGGCACCTCCCCAGATGCTTTCAAACATTGAGGTTGCTTACCAGTCACTGATCACCATCTCAAGAAGTGAAATGTGGGCTTCACATCTGAAAACTTTCACTTGGTTTTTCACCAAGTAAAATGGAACACAAAATTTGGGGCCCAAGCAAATGACTTGTGTTTTCTTTGGGATATTTGGGCTGTGTCTACCCAGGGAAATTTTTGATGTAGTGACTGACTCCAGTGCATGTGATTAATGTATATATAGGGCAAACCAGGATAATTCAGACCTTTTTTGCTTCCACAGGAGGTTTTCAGCCGGAATAATCTGGATGGTTGCCTCAAGTCTCCACTAGGCTTTGCCAGGATAAGCACAGCGAGTGTAGTATGCAGGAGACAGGGGCCACTCCCTCTCTCCAAGATTCCCTTCAACACTCACACCCTGTGCAGCTGAGCATAGTGGGATCTGTCCTGACAGGCATTCCTTCTGGGGGCAAAAGCATATTCTGTCTAATGAATCTCTAAGAAGCCCCCCAAAACACTAAATGATGCATTCTGACTAGCTGTCAAATAGCAAAAAATAATAGACAGGTGCAAGGGGAAAACCACATTAATGGAGAAAAAATTATATCTTGTTCTCTTCTCCATTCAAGAAAGATAGCAAATCCAAAGCCCATGAGTTCCCAATCAAATTGATTAGTATGTATGTGTATATTTTCTCTAACAATTGTGAACACCTGGATTGTAATTTTTTCCTTAAGTAAATGAATGTATAGATATACCCTTTGTTTTTAAAAGTATAGTTAAAAAGTAAATTAAACTACAGGCCAACATTTAGAAATAGTGTTTTTCATAGAGGTATAGTTTGTTACAAATATGCTCCTGACAAGGTTTGTACAGATCAATTTTTAAAAATTAAATTAAAAACAAATAATGAGGGAAGGATACTACTTGAAATAATCTCTTGGTAATTTATTTTGTAAAGAATTCTTTTATAAAATTAACAATTAACTTATAATTTACCTGGTCAAATTGCATTTTAATGGACTCCTGCACTTATATCACGATTCTGGGTTTGGGTTCTGTTTTGTTTTGTTTTGTTTGGAGGAAAGGTGAAAAAGAATAATGAGAAAGATGTATGACAGTTTATTTTACTGTATATAACAGATCAAAATTCTAATGATGAAGTTTCCCACATAACTTCTTTCTTTGGGGGAGCAGAAAAAAGGAAGACAATGAAGAATCAGAGCTGTTGATACATTGGGATAATATTTTTCTACTCTATTGAAACTTCCTACCTTTCCTTCCATTCTGTTTCACCAGTTTTCTAAACGATAATTACCAAATGATAACGTCCCCATTGATACTTGTGTGGTGTTTTGTTTTTCTTTTTGTTTTTGCAGATTTTAATGCAGATTTTTTCCCTGAATAGATAATCTCTAAAATAAAATACTTAAAACTTTTAAGAGATTGTTTCCCCACTTAAAGATTGCTTTATCATCTCAGATACAATCATTGTAACTACTGCATGAGAAAGCCCTAAAATGTATTAAGTAAAAACCAAAACAGCAGTAACGATGAATTGTAAAATGGACAATTCTATGTGTATCTCTTAAAAAGTTCTTTGTTTATCTGTAGGGTGTGTAGAAAGTTTGTTCATTCTCACTCGTGAAAGTGTTCTCGCTGCCACGCAATGGAAATAAAACCCTGGAAAAGAGAGATCATCTGTAAAATATGCATCTGTAAAATAAGTTTCTCTCTTCAAATGGCTTGTACTGGTGTGGTGGCCCCACACTATGTACTGGACATGACTCCTTGAAAGCAGTCTGTAACCTTGGACAGATTTGCAGTGACAAATGTTGCTATGCTTCTGTAAGCACTGTTTCTGCTAGAGGGCACTGTACATTAGACAAGGCCTTGGACTCTGCTTAGTAAAGACAGCTCTCTATTGCAGAACCTGTGTCCAAGTCTCCATTTGTTAACACATGTGTGTGTTTCCTTTTCTTGGTGGATAAGACTTTGGGAAGCATGACTGCAAAAGGTTTATTCCATGGGATAAATAAATTTAGAGTTAGGTGAGTGTTTTTCTACCACGAAAAGGCCATAATATATTCACCTCACTCTCAGAATTGTTCCACAAAGTAGCACTGACTTCTCAGTTGATGGATTCCTCCTCCTTTACTGTTCATTCCACACCATCCCCCACCTCCAACTCCACTTCCTCTTTTTCTCTGAACAAAGAGCAGCTGGTTCAAATTAAACTCATGGGCACACATACACCACTTTCCTATCTCTGAATTTAAAGGGCAAAATGGAGAACCTATGGTGAAAATAACAGAAGATATTCTGAGAAACAAGCTATGATTCTAGAGGAGATATTTCACCACCTCTATCATAACTATCTTTGCTGTAGTTCATATACATAGATCCTCGCTTAGTTGTTGAAAACTAGGGGAAAAGCAAACCAAACCTATACATATAGTGACCCTTCAGTCATTGAAAGGCTTCATTTCTCTTTTTATTAACTCATTGATTGCTTGTTCACTTAGAGTACTAGCCCAGAAGTTTGCCTTAAATTAAATGATTAAATAAATTAAAATAACTGAAATACCCCTAAGTTCTAAAGAGGTCAGAATTTACATTAGCCAACAGAACACTATGAATAATAATGAGAGGAAAGAAAATGAATATTTTAAATTTTTTTATTTATTTTTTATTTTTTAAGAAAATGGGTTTTCTAAATGTACAATACACCAAAGAAAATATGATATACCTTAGTGAAAGACTGGATCTTTACTTAAGTGTAAACCTAATGCTTTAAAGACTGGAAATGTCTTTGTTTTACTCTTTCTCTTTTTCTGTGATTTGTAGCATACATTGAAGATCTCACAAGATGTGTTGAGCAAAGCAGAAGACTTATTATCATATTAACTCCAGACTATGTTCTCAGACGAGGATGGAGTATTTTCGAATTGGAAAGCAGACTCCATAACATGCTAGTCAGTGGAGAAATCAAAGTAATTTTGATTGAGTGTACAGAATTAAAAGAGAAGGTGAATTGCCAGGAAGTGGAATCACTGAAGCGCAGCATAAAACTTCTGTCCCTGATCAAGTGGAAGGGACCCAAAAGCAGCAAATTAAATTCTAAGTTTTGGAAGCACTTAGTATATGAAATGCCCATCAAGAAAAAAGAAGGACTTTCTCGATGCAATGTTCTTGACTCTGCGGAACAAGGACTTTTTGGAGAACTCCAGCCTATACCCTCCATTGCCATGAACAGTACCTCAGCCTCTCTGGCATCATCTCAAGCTGATCTCCCTGATTTCCATCATTCAGATTCAATGCAAATGAGGCACTGTTGCAGAGGTTATAAACATGAGATACCAACCACCACCTTGCCAGTACCTTCCTTAGGCAACCACCACACTTATTGTAATCTGCCTCTGACGGTACTCAATGGACAGCTTCCCCCTAATAATCCCCTGAAAGATGCCCAAGACATTCATAGAAACAGTTCCCTGCTACCTTTATCATCCAAAGAGCTTAGCTTCACCAGTGATATTTGGTAGTGAAAAATCTGAAGTTCTCAGAACAGCTATGTGAGCATACAGAATTTCTGCTATACCAAGCATAAAGTACATCTAATAATATCGAGGTGCTGGAAAAGTGTTTGAAGAAAAGGACACAGAAATTGCTTTCGTACTTTATTTTTTTGTTGTCGTTGTTTACAATTCCAGAATAATGGGAGTGAGAAGGACCTGCTTTTTGTAGTATAGTACCCTGTTACAATGTACAGTTTTAATTTCTCCCTGAAAAAAAAAATGTTTAATCCTATTGTTTTAGAGTAGGTTTTATGATATCATTGGACTGAAAGCTTAGTAGTTAGCTATCTTCCGCATATTTATGAATATTTCAGTACTTACGTGGTATTTGAAATAGGGAAAACTTAAAGACTTTAATTGAATTTGAAAATTCTGAACTACATTTAAGGGGACAAGACAACTTCAATAAAGTAACCAAAAAATCAGGTATCAAGAAAGAAGTGTTGTATTCAAATTGGAAGATTGTTTGTAGAAGAAGATCAGTTAAGGAAAAATGGGATTGAAACATTTAGAACTTCTTCAACATAATGGACAACTTCTGTAGACTCAATCAACAGCTAATAATGACAGCTTTTAGATTTATTAGGCAAGCACATCTTCTGTAGGCAAACTGGTAGGTAGGTAAACAATGTGCATTTCTTAAACAAAGGAATAGACAGGTTGTTACTTCTTTTAGAATGATTTTGAACAACTCTTATGGCTTTCTAGCCTATTTCAAAAGTTTTACAAGTTTGAAAACACATTTTAAGGTGCACATTTTATTGTTTAATAACAAGTTCACATTTGGATTTTTCCCCAAATAATCTCTTGACCTGTTATGAGCTTTATATGAAGATGTGAGCATCGTTCTACTTTTTTCAGCATCACTGGTGTTTGAATTTAAATAAATATTGACTGCAAGTGTCAACAGTACAAAAGAAGTAAAATAAAAATAATCACAGATGAAATGCTAAATAATTCAAGTTTGCTATTGATAAAGCAGCAATTGCAGTGATTCTCATCTGAAATGTAGTTGTGAAACAGGCTATTTTGTATATACACAATATCTGCTTAGACATGTGTGCAAGGCTCCTGCAGAAGTATCTCTATTCCTGGTGGTTCAAAGAGTATATTTTATAGACTAAACTTTTTCACACATTGTTACTATGACTGTACTGTATCAGAAAATCTCTGCGAATAATATAAAATATTACACATTTGCTATAAGGAGTGTTTCCCTATTTTAGTCTTTATTGTGGATTGCTACTTTGTGTTTTTTCCAATTAATCCATTTTGGTGTGTTCTCCACCAAGATGCCTGGGGGATCAGTTGTTAATCAAGGTTGACTCTGGAATTTTGCAAATATTTCTTAAATCATGTTTTTGGACTAATATAAACAATGACAAATGTACACAGTGTGTAAGAATTAATTTACCCAGATGTTGTAATTGTGCAACTCAAATGTATAAGAGAATACTAGATAATATGTTTTGATTATTTCCTTCAATCTTATATCACTGACTTCCTGTGATCCATGGGTTTTGTTCAAAGTATTTGTTTCTCTGTCGCTTTTCTATATCCAATTGTTCAAGAAATACATTATGCACCAACAGTATGTGAAAGCTTAGCAGTGATACATGTTCATTTCACAGTAGGACAATTAGTTGCTCCTTTGAAAAGTTCTACTCAATACATACAGGTGTTTCATAGGTTTTTTTTTTTTTTTCAACTGAGAAAAGTGGTTTTGCTTCTGTAGAATCTATTGGTATTTCAAATGCAAATTTATCAATTCTGAACTGCTTCCAAAGTGTTATAAAGTCGTATTTGCTCTCATTGTTCTTTAATGATATGTGTAATTACTAAGTCAAAAACTTGCATGAAATGAGTAGTATATGTTTAAGTGACCGATTGTACTTTTTATTATTTTATTTTTCACAGAAGTCTAGATTAATACAAATAGAATGTTGAGTGGTATTTTTAAACTAATAATTCTGTATTGAGCATGCCAGTTCTGAAAATATAACATGGGTCTCTCTGCTTCCTTTATTTACAATGATTAAACATGGGTAGCAATTTGAGTTGGCTGGCCACAATGTGTCCTTTCACTACTAGTAGGTACTCAAAAACAGAGCATTCACACTTGTGCTGGGGAACTTGACAAGAAACCTTTTCTACCATTTTCAGGAACCAATGTGTACACTATAAAAAATTATTTCTAGATGGCAATTCAAAATTTAATTTTCATCTGAGATTTTTAAAAGATATAGCCTATAAGGGTATAAATGTTTAGTCTAGAACATGATGTATTCTTTCAGTTTCTTTCACAGTGGAAAATTTTTTTCTTCTCAAATTTTCACTGAAATGGATTTTGGAAATTTAGAAAAATACCTGTGCAACTAATTCCCATACATTCATAGCAAATTTATTTAGCTTATCCATCAACAATACACATACTTTTTAAAATCGAGTCTATTCTAAGGTGAAAATTATAAAAATGTCAGAAGTTATGAGACAAATGAGAAATGCACAAAGGCAACAGATACTTGGGAAATGAAAACTGCATTAAGAATAAGCCATATGCAAGGAGATGGGCAACCTGTACATGGTTTTAATTTGGCAAAATATGATATCTGGCATGTTTGATAATCTATAGGCTCCAATATAACCATCAAGATTCAAAGGTAGGTAGATGGTTCTTGAATAGAAGTAAGAAGGCATTTCCCCTTACACCCTCTAAAACTTAATTGAATTAGAACCAAATCTCTTCTGCTTTCAATCACTTTCATTTAAAAATGGGTACAAAGACACTTGAGGAGTTCTGGTAAGGCTTGAACTCAAGGTAGCATCATGTGAAAAATATATATATATATTTTTTGAGGATTGGTGGTTAGCACTTTGGTAGTTAAAAATAGGAAACAGCCTGCAATGAGAGGAGAAATAGTTAAGTTATGAAAGAGAAGTTTATAGAAGAGTTTCAAAGGGACATGGAAATGAATAGTATCCTATGGGTTACTTCTATAACAAGTTGGAAAATGGCAGGTGTGAGGAAGAAGGAAATTCTGCCAAGAAAAGGAAAGAGACTCCCTGACACACTTGGTGATTGAACGGCTTAAAAGTGTATAGAACCACTGGTTTCAAACATTTACTGCCCTTTGGCATTTTATTTTTAAATAAATTGGTTGGTTTTCACCCAGTACATTCTAGAAAATTAAGTAATGACCAAGGGAAATATCTTGAAAATTGCACATATGAATCTTTATGGTCCTTGTATTCATTTCTCAAGATGTGGTAGTGAACTGACAAAACCAGAGTAAAGTTAAGACAGAAAATAGTTCCATGGTGAGCAGTTAAGTCTGAACACTTGCAATTTTTGCTGCTCTTTTCTGGGAGAGAATTTAATGTTGAAAATAGTCTGGCTCAAATTCCTCTATTACTCATGCATTTTTGTTCTAAGAGGTTTGATAGGAAGCCACAGTATTGGACTTTAACAGTCTCTGATGAATGTATGGGGATGTTTGATAAACCATTTGCCTCAAAAACTTTCATATCAAACTTACCTTTTTCAGAACTAAAATCAGCCATAAGCAACTTAAGAAGATTATTCATCCCTCTGTTTAATTACTGTGAGATCCAAACTTGTAAAATCACTAACACCCATCTAAACTTGTCTTTCCAAATGCTCATTGATGTTTAATCAACCACATTTTCTTCAGATGGTACTAAAGGCAATCAAGAATATGCACTGAGTGCCACTGTCTTCTGTCCACTACATAAAGTATAACAGATTTTTTTTAAAATGAAGTCCCTTTTTTCAAATAGTTTACACATAATATTCATGAAGAAAGGGGTATTTGCAAAACACATTCCAGCGTAGGAAAATTAATGTTGTACATGCAGAGTAGATAAGTGAGGTGGTGTTATGCAATCCTGAATTGGGCAAGAGCTAAGTTTGGAAATGAGGGCACAGTGATGAAGAATGGTAATTTCCCAAGGGCAGAGAATAGCATATGAGAAGACTGAGGGGAAAATAGGCAAGTCCTATTTAGCTAATAATTAGCATATTTGGCTAGCAAGAGGAGAAATTTGTGCAATGACATAATAAGAAATAAATCTGGAAGAGATGCTAGACCCTTCATCTGGTAGCAGATGCAGAAAGAATTAGATAGGAAGAGAGGATGGTGGCAGGGAGACCAGTTGGGAGGCTGTTTTCATAGTCCGCATGTGAGGTGATAAGAGGTAGAGAGTGGTGACCTGGATACTCTCAGAAAAAGGCAAATCTAAAGAAGAAGAGGGATAGGTGGAATGAGGTGGTATGAAAAGTGAAAAATGAAGGAAAACAGTCAATAAAGTTTCTAAGGCTTAAGAAATTTCATTTCATCAAAGGAATTATTTTAGAGTATTTAACTTACCTTCTTAACTGAACATCCTGACACTGTAAGGACCAGAATAGAGACAGCACAAAGGTAGGTGTATTTGCTACTGGAGCAACTCCTGAAATATTTGCAGGAGAGTAAGGTCAGGGAAGGCAAAGTGATTCTGCAAATCTGTTTTAAAATGAATAATTACACTCACTACACTGAGTATAATCTCAAATTCTCAAAGAAGTAATTGATGAAGTTTGGTCCTTTCGGTCTTCTGATTCTATTTAAATTCCTCACCATACTTTGGTGTAAAGAATTATGGTCTTAAAATAGAGGCATTGAGTTATTCAATTATTAAAAACTTCAGGAGGCAGAGATTGGGGTATCACTAGTTTTAAAATAGAGAAACTGGACAATATTTACAAAGAGCAATAAAAGGGATATTCTGAAGTGTATTGGAGTGGTGAGGAGGTGCAGTGAGTGCTATTGTGAAGAATAATAAAGAATCGATGACCACATAAAATTTGAATCCAATGAATCCAAATTTTCACCAAAATTGAAGACAGAATGATTACTATCTTTAAAATTATGAAGGAAACTTTGTAAGGGACATTAGTATTAATAAAAGTAGATAACTGTTGTTAAGGACAACAACCCAAATCCTGTAGCTTAAAACAATAAAAATGTACTGCTTGCTCACATCACAGTCTAATGAGGATCGGACAGGATTATGGGTAAAGGCTTCTGCTCCACAGTCATTCAGAGCTGGCTTTTTCTATTTTGCTTCTCTGATCTCTCGATCAG